CCAATGGTGGGGGGCGGGGGAAGAAGGGGCATTACATTTCTGTTGGTGGTGAAATAATTCGGAAAAGGGTGGTGATAACGGTTGTACAACATGAAGAATGTAATCAATGCTACTGAACTATACAAGTAAATATTGTTGAATTGGCAAATGTTTTGTTATGTATATTTTTACCACAATAAAAAAAATTGATCACACACACACACACAATGGCTGAGGAATGACATCTCACATTCTTAAAAAGAATTGAAAAAACATCTTGTGAAATATTATGAGCCAGAAATAAACCTAAGTATTTTTTAAATTTATATGACTAGAATAAAATACAAACACGAAAAAATTCTCTAAACTGGATCTAAACCACAGTAATATTTCTTTTGTCTTCCAGGGTTGATTCAGGAAAGGACTTTGGCACTCATTACCTCAGTTCACCTTTCTCCCTGAGGACACTGGAATTCAGCAGTGGACTTCAGTATAGTCAGAACATCTGCTGTGGGGTTTGTGTTATGCAGGTTACCACATGATGTCTAGCTTTTAGAGACGGCTCCACTCAGAGCATTGCCTGGTGCCTGCTTTGTACACTTCTGAGGCAGCCCCGAGCATTTCAGAGAGGCAGTCTCTAAGGATTTTTCTAAGGTTTGCAGCCTTTTGAAGCAGAAAACTTTTCTAGTTGATTAAAAACAAATTCTAAATCCAGTATCCGCAACTCTATTTGTTTCACAGATGAGGTAATCTTAGGAAAATGCAATAAACCAAACTGAAATAGTCTTTGCTGCATTGCTAATGTTGGACGCCAGGCATCTCACGGGGCTATGGCCTGCTGTTCCACCCTTCCTCTCCTGGTCAGCAAACAGGAACTCAGCTGGATGATCCTAAAGGGACTCAAATTTGTGTGTGTGTTTAATTAAAATTTTAACAACCAGCACTATCAAAGAGTCATTGCTGATGTCTGTCCTAACCTTGTCCTGGTTTCTTGTTCCTTTCTTGTCCCATTCTCCGCAAGAACAGAAGCTGCTCACTGCCACTTGCGTAACGACTTTCATGCCTGTAAAAACTAGTAGGCTCCCTTTGCACTTTCTCTTTCCCATGCTGTGTTTGCCCAAGGACCAGGCATTTCACTGTTTTATGCAAACCCCAGGGAGACACATCCTTAGAGAGCAAAAGGGGTGGATTAAGGGTTCTTCAAATTATAGACATCACAGAAGAAGTTGCCTCTCCTGCTTATCATTTGCTAATTAATTAGCTCAGATCCTCTGGGTGAAGAGATAGCAACTAGTTTCTAAAAATTATATTAATAATTATATATCATGTAAGTCCACAAATCTATTTGCTTACCACCTCCAAAGAATTGATGTTTGAAAGTTTGAAGGAGATTACAAATGATTTGTTTCACAACTGATTTGATTTCTTTATTCCAGTCACATATAATAAAGAAAATGGCTGCTGTCAGTGTGCCGGTACTGATCTAAGCTCTTTGCCACAATCCTGTGAGGGAGACACTAATAATAAACCCCTTTTACAGATGAGAAAACTAAGTCCCTGCAAGTTTAAGTAATTTGCTAAAGTTAACACATTTAAGAAGTGGTGGAGTCATCTGCCTGACAACATTCCAGGACCCATAGCACTGGAGGGCCATTTGATCTTGGCCTCGTATGATGTCCTTAAATTCTCACGTTTGATATTATCTCCAGATGATGTTATACAGACAGCCACAGAACTACACCAACAAAATTGAGAGAAATCTGTCATCCAACTTGGACCCCATTGTTCCCAGTACACTATGAAAATATATATTTAATATATGTATATTCATACATATATATTATCCATATATTGAATATACTCATATATTCAATGTATATATTCATATATTCAATATATACATATTTGATATATATATACATATATTCCACATGGCCCAAGTTCAAAGTTCTACACAAATGTCATGCTTTTCAACTTTCAGCTACTTTAACCATAATACAGCTAGTTTAAAGACTGAAAAATCTGAATGTCTTAGCACAAGCTATAATTTATATATCGATATAAATTATTGCAAATTGCACCCACTCCAATCTCAACTCCCTTGAGACTAACATTTGTACACTCTATTGAATAGATATATTCAATATATATATTCATAGCATGCATATGTATATGTATATATATACACACACAGACACACACATACGTATATATATACATAGACACCATATTTTCATAAGCAAAATACCTGGTGAGGGAGCAGTTGACAAACAAGCATAGAAGGCACATACTATTTGTGTAAAAATATGGTGTGTGTTTGTGTGTATATATATATGTATATATTCAAATTAAAAAAAAAAAACTACCATCGAGTCTATCCTGACTCATGACAATCCCACGCGTGTCAGAGTAGAACTGTGTTCCATTGGTTTTCAATGGCTGACTTTTTGCAAGTAGATCACCAGGCCTTTCTTCCAAGGCATCTTTGGGTGGACTTGAACATCCAATGTTTCTTTTAGCCAAGTGCATTGATTACTCTCTATTTGGGAATGACGAATATTTAAATAATACCTCTAATCATCTTGTAAATAGTACAATTATGTTACATTACATTTTTGTGTAGAGTAGTAGTCTTTAGTTAGTTAAGCATAAACATTTAAAATATACCACAGGCTCTGTAACCCTGTTTTTATACTTCTTCATTTTGTAATATACAGAGAGTCTCAAAAATGAAATGGACCTGGCCATGTCTTGACTTCTGAGAGGTACCAGTTCACTAGAACCACAGGGTTGGGGGAGAAACTTGGAGATTATCTTGTCCAACTTCTTCATTTCATACACAAAGAAATGGAGACTCAGAGATGTTGAGTAACCTCCTCACGTTCACACAGTTAGAACGCCCTTCTCCTGACAGACAGACCAGGTGCACTGTCCTGCACCCCGTGTCTGACCCCTGGTTCATGCCTCCACAAGAGAGCAAGGAAAGATGAAGTTGTGCAAGTGGGCACACGTTAAGGGGAACCTCCTGGAGGTGATGAAGCATAACCAGAAGGCAATGACTGTTATTGTTAGGTGCTGTCAAGTTGGTTTTCAGCTCCCAGCAAGCCCATGTAATAGAGTAGAACTGCTCAATAGGGTTTCCTAAGCTGTAATCTTTACAGAAGCAGATCGACAGGTCTTTCTTCCGGAGCTGCTGGATAGGTTTGAACTGCCAACATTTTAACCTTTGTGCCACAAAGGCAATGTCTCCTCCCAGTGTAATCTTTTTTCAAATAAGGAAAAACAAACAAACAAAAAAAGATTGCATCTCTGTAGAACTTTTCATATTTCAAAGCCTTTTTCGAATTGAGAATCAGTATTGAACCTCATGACCATGCTGGAAAGGAGGACGGGCGGTCATTGTTGTTTCTGTTTTACAGGTGGGGAAACCAAATTCAAGAAATGTACGCATCTTTTCCAAGGTAACACAGCTAGGTAGCGGAGGATCTGTCACTATAATTCAGGACCCCTGGGTTGGTACACTGCATCACAGCACACTGCTTTCTTGTACACAATATGTCTTATAGGAACTACAGATGAGAACAGCAGAAGCCTTTTCGTTCTCATGATGTTATTCATAAACCACCCTGTGTATTTGCTCTGAAAGAAACCATTCTTCATGTGATCGGTAACTTGGCGAAAAAGATAATTAGAACTTCCAAATTATATTAATAAAGGAAATGCTATTTTAGGATAGATGTTAAGCCTTTCCAGTGTTCCTAAGGTATTTTCTTTCAGTGCTGAGGTGTAAGATATATTTTAATGAAGCTTTGTCTGGGAAACCAGCATAGCATATTGCAATTAAAAATGCAACCCTTGTAGTCTTACTCTTCTTTGACTAAAGCCCTTCTGCAAAAGAGGGTATTTTAATTCAATAAATAAAAGACAGGCACATCCAGCTCTCTTGCCAGCACAGCTACCACTTGCCGCTTATACACACACAGAGAAAACACACCGACAATAAGCGTTTGATCCTGCCCTGCTGCAGGCTGTTTTCATCTTTCAAGAGATCCAGGGAAAAACAACCTCAGAACTTTACCACCAAAACTTCCACATTTATTGCAACACAGTGTAATGGCAAAATGCTATTTTCTTAAGCGCTCACATTTTTGAACCACTACCGTGGCCAAGAACGCCTGGTTTAATTTTTCCAATAAACACGAAGAAAACCTTGAATTCCTCTCTCAATTTTGGGATGGCAAAGCTGCCGCGGGTTGCTGGAAGCGAAGTGTTGAGTCTAATTATTTAATCTTCTCCTCTTAGTTTAACCTGTGCTCAACAGATTTTTTTCATGTTTATACTGGTTTGACACAAATCATGCTTAAAAGAGATTTCGTCTCTTGTCTCCCTGGGCAAAGCTGAGCTACAACTGTAGACTTCACAATGCCAGCCCCTTCCTGGGGCTTATCAGTAAAAAAAGCATTCAGCCTAAGAAAACACTTCAGTGTAAACAAGACACAGAATTGCACATCTAGCCACATTCCATGGAGATCCATCTGAATACAGAGAAACATAGATTCATGCTAATTGTTCCTCTTTTAATTTAGCATCAATGTGCCCATTTCCTTTATTGCTATTTGTATATTGTTACAAGCAATTCTTATATTGCTACTGTCTTCCATATAGGGAGGAAGGCATAAAAAGAAGCAAAATAATAGAGGCCTAAATGTACTTCAAAGTTCTACAGAAATGCCATACTTTTCAACTTTCAGCTTACTTTAACCATAATAAAGTTGGTTTAAAGACAGTGAAAAATCCTATTCTAAACTGAATGTCTTAGCACAATTTATAATTAATATACCTGTATAAATTATTGCCAATTATACCCACTCCCATGCCAACTCCCTTGAGACTGAAATTTGTACAAGGCTACTTGGTCAAGGTATGTATTATAGTTTCTTAGTGACAAATACATTTTATGTTTTTAAAATAATGTCTGGAAAGCAAACTATATACACAATTTAGAAATTCATCAGACATACCTTGTTTGGAGAAAGCAATTTTTTTTTTCAAAAAATTTCCACCACACAGAATGGATATCCTTTCTTCGTTAAGCTTTTCTGCATCACAAATTCCATGTAAATTATTCCAAAGAAGAAACAAGAGGAGGTCCAAGCACCTTTTCTCTTCTTCTTGCAGGAGCTAATCAAACATTCCCATGAACCTCTCTGCACTTTGAAAAGCACATTTTACACCACACACACAGACACACACACACACACACATACACACTGCTTCTCACACTGGTTTTAGTGCTGAATTAGGCGGTCCTCTTTCAAATTTCCACTCCCACTTGCTTTTTTTGGGGTAAGGATTTCTGAATATTCTTTTCTAGCCCAAAGCACACATTTTCAGCAAGCAAATTCTACAATTAGAAATTCTAAAAAGTAGAGAGGAAGCGCCTAGGTCAAATGGAAAGTTAAAATATACTTTAAAAAATACTGAAGCAGAGTAATTGCATTTTCTCTTCCTTTTTGTTTTTCAAACACTAATGTACAGCTGGATTAAACTGCATAAGAAAGAAAACTGCAAACACTATCAAGTTTATTCTATCAGACGTTCACATTTGGAGTGAAAATACTTACTTTTCTTACATGGTAATGCTGTTCTTTGTTTTGCTCCAGTCTTTTCTGCATTTTGGAAAACTCAATGAAATGACTGAGGTATATTCTGCCAGTAACAGGACACAAGATAATAATAGTGGGCAGCAAAGCCTGACTCATGTTTCAAAAAAACTTAATGATGGATTTACCATATCTGAGGTGAAATCTGCTGGTTTTAGTTACTTATACTTTAGTGTCTTCAATTAAATTGAAGGAATTCAGACCAAAAACATTCATTAACATATTGCAGCTTTTAAAAAAAACAGACATAGCACCTCTGGCAAGCCTTGGGTTTCCAATGTGCATCAGTGTGACAGCGTCTTCCCTCCCCTGGCAGGAGGAAGCCAAGGGCCATGCCCCCTCCTGCTGGTGAGTGTGTGCTCGCCCCCAGCCAGGATAGCCTCCTGCACGGAGCAGCCCTCTCGCCCTCAGCTGTTGGCCTGGGATAGCTCCTGATTTAAGACAACGGTTTGAATGTTATTTAACTTTTTCTCTTTTGTTACTTCTTTTGGTTCTGCATTTAAATTATTTCTCCGACCTGTTTCTTCCTCCACAAAATCCAGAACCTAAGACCACTGGTGGTAAAGACAGTGCCGCCATGTAGATGATTGCCTGTCCCACATTCGAGTTAGGGAAGGTTCCACTGGAATGGCAGCCCAAGTACAGTCAGTAATAATATGATGATGATGATAATAACCAAACAAAAACAAAAAGCCAAACCTGCTACCATCAAGTTGATTCCGACTCACAGCAACCAGTGTTTGGCTGCTAACCAAAAGGTTGGCAGTTTGAATCCACCAACAGCTCCTTGGAAAACCTATGGGGCAGTTCTACTCTGTCCTATAGGGTCACTATGAGTCGGATGATGATAATAACAGTAAAATAATTGTTGTTGGTAGTGGTTGCTAGTGGTTAGTGCTGGTTGTTGGTTGGTTGTTGTTTATTGTTGTTGGGTGCCATCCAGTCGATTTTGACTCATAGCGACCCCATGTGACAGAGTAGAACTATCTCACAGGGTTTTCTTGGCTGCAGTCTTTAGGGAAGCAGATTGTTAGGTGTTTCTCCTGTGGAGCCTCTGGGTAGATTTGAATCACCAACCTTTGGTTAGCAGCCCAGGGCTTAACAATTTGTGCCACCAGGCTCCTCAGTAAAGTAATAGTTGCCATTTATCCAACACTTGCTTTTGCTAAGTATGGTAATAAGCCTTTTACAGATAGCATCTCATTTAGTACTTAGAAGAATCTACAGGGGTCTGTACTACTGTCTTCATTTTATAGATAAAAGAACACAGGTTCAGCTAGATTAAGTGACTTTCCCAGGGTCACCCAGCCAGTAAGGAAGGAGCCTGGATTCAAACCCAAGGCTGTGTGACTCCAAAGCCATGGTGCTATGTTGAAAGTTGGAGACTCTTTCCTTTCACTAGTTTATTTTGTTTTCTTATGACGAGTAAGGCAAAATCAAACGTAAATGTGTTGCAAAGCATATGAACAGATGCTCAGAGAGAAATGCAAATGAGCTATCAATTAAAAAGCAAAGAGAGATCACTTTATCCTCATTAGATTAGCAGGTGTGTGGTGGCCCTGATAGGCTACCGGTGGTAGTGGACAAATATGGTTATTCTGGAGAGCCATTGGGAAATACTTAGTCAATTATGTATGTACAGTAGGACCCACCATACCCATTCTGGGGTATATTCTTCTGTGAGCTTCTCCCACAGGGCCACGAGAAGTCCATCCCTTGGAATCAATGCATGAAGTACAGCAGATGTACACTATGAAATAATACTATGTAGTAGATAGAAGCAAAGGACTAAATGTGGGATTTTGAGCGTGGATCCTCAGGCCAGATCACCTGAGTTTGACTGTTGGTTCTAGCACATGACATTTGGCGAATAACTTGATCTTTCTGTTTCTTAGTTTCTTCATCTGTAAAATGAGAAAAATAGTAAAGCCTATATTACAGAGTTGTTATGAAGATTAAAGAAATAAGTATTTGTAAAATTCTTGGAATCTTGCCTCATATATAGTAAATACTATATAAGTGTTTGTCAAATAAATAAAATGTACAAACATCATTATTGTACTCATTTTCTACTGCTGCGTAACCAATTAGCACAAATCTAGAGGCTTACGCCAACACCCATTTATTATCTCACAGTTCTGTAAGGCAGAAGTCCAGGCATGATGTGACTGGGTTCTCTGTTCAGGGTCTGAAAAAGCTGAAATCAAAGTGTTGGTGGGCTGGGCTCTTATCTAGAAGCTCTGGGAAAGAATCTGCCTTCAAGCTCATTCAGGTTGTTGGTAGAGTTCAGCTCCTTGTGATTATTGTGGGCTGAGGTCCCCATTTCCTTGCTGGCTGTCAGCCAGAGGCTGCTCTTAACTCCTAGTGGTTGCCCACATTCCTCGCCACTTGGCTCCCTCCGTCTTCAAGCTAGTGATGGTGTGTTGAATCCTTCTCATGTTTCAAATCTCTTTGACTTCCTGTTCTTCAATAAGCCAAGGAAAACTCTGCTTTTAAAGAGCTTGTGTGACTAGGTTAGGCCCATCAGTGTAATCTCCCTAACTTAATGTCAACTGATTAATAACCATAACCTCACTTGCAAAATCACTTTTGACATGTAATGAACATAACATAATCATGCCCCGGGGTGAAGATCATAGAGCCATCTTAGAATTCTGCCTACCACAACTACTGATCTTAAAAACATTATTCTGAGGGAAAGTAAGAAACAGAATGAGAAACATAATACATACAATACTATTTACGAAAATTAAAGAATATGAATATAAAACAACAATATACGTTTTACAGGAACAGTTATAAATAGATATATACTCATCAAACCCTGGGGTTGAGTAAATCCAGCATACTGATGACAAGACCAGGTCCTCTGGCTTCCATCAGTGGAGTTCAGAGGGAGTTTTAAGCTTCACGGTAAGACTTCCCCTTCCTATATGGGTCAAGAGTGAGTCTAGCACATGTGGAATGAGAAGCCCTTCCCCAAACCCCCATTGACAGTTGTGACGTAGGGGCTCAGAGACACCCTCTCCCTTGCTACCATCAAGAGTGATCTCATTTTGCCTTTCATCCTTCTGTTGGGTCAGTCCCCACAAAATCCATGCAAGAAGATCCCTTCATCTCCTGCCCACAAATCACCACAGGGCTCTACACAAATATTCTTCTGTCCCCACCACCCCTCTCCTTAGCTCCTGTAATCTTCCACTGTGCCCTTTGGAACTCACAATTCATCGTCAACAAAATTCTTTATATACGTCCCTGAACATTTTTTTCATTTTGCTCTAACAGAACACTCTTAACTGGTGACTCTGTCTATCTTACAGCCTTCCTACCACTTGACCTGGAGGGGGTGCAGGTGTCCTCCCTGCTCCTCACTGTCCCCTCCAGACCACTTGCCCTCCCTCCTTTGTAAAAATCCCTGGCTGGGAATCTCATGTGGTCAGACTCAACCATGAACTACCTTGCTCGTCGCAGACATCTACAAGGCCCAAGTTTTTAACCCTTGCTCATTGTCACGCTCGCTAACACCACTTCTGCGTTAATATTTGGTGATTTATCTCCCTCTATAGAGGGTCCTTTTAACTCCCTGATCTCTCAGTGCCTTGGACTTGGTTAACCCTCCACTCTGCCTCAGCCAATGTCCACAACTCCTTCATAATCTCAGCCTGAGTCTCCCACTCCTCTAACCACATCACTTATCTTTACAGTTCACTCCCCTAGAGCCCTGACTTGGGGGTGACCTGGTGCCTGTTCACACTGGCTCTGGAGAGCCGATTCTGTGCAGCTTTTCTCAACTCCACCTTCAGTGACATAAGGTTGATAGCTTGAATTCAGCCACGATGTGGGTATTTATACCACTGAAATCGGCAAGTGCTACAAATCAGGGCTGCTCCCTCTCCGGCCAAGAACTGGTTGTTAAACCTTAACCAGCACACCCCTGTCTTGATTCTATAGGAACCTTAGTCCATTGATCCTATAACCTCTTTATTTTCCCTCTTCCCCTCATGCTCTCACTTCCCTTCTTTCTTAGCTTAAATTTCATGACTGATAAGTCTTGCTTCACTCCTTCTGCACATACGTCTTGGCACCAGTCTTCCTGTCTTGCTTCAGCATACTCTCCTAGCACAACAAAAATCCTGGTAAAATCCATGCAGACAAATATGGCTGGATACAAGCATATAGCCCTGCTGATTCATTATCACAAACCTGAGGAGGATCCTAGGACTCCCAGGCAATTACACTACGTGTCCCTCCTCCATTCACTCTCCTATTTACCTAGTCAACACTTTCACACCCTCTCCTGTCTCCTCAAGTCTCGAACACCTCCTTCTCAGTCTTCACAACTGGAGACCCTGCTTCCTATTTCCCTGATAAAATTAAAGCAATCAGAAGACAGGTTTCACAAGCTCTCACCATATCTACCCACATGCTGGTATCTGCGCCCAAGTACTCTGCCTTCCCTCTTGTTAGTATACAAGAATGTTCCCTCACTCTTATCTAAGGCAACTCTTCTACTTGTGCTCTGGATCCCATCTATTCTCACCTGCTCAAGGACATAGCTCCACCAATTCTCTCTGCTCTCTCCTGAGGCATTGTATTAGTTTCCTGGGGCTGTCATAACAAAGTACCACAAATTGGGTG